CAACTCCAGGGGACAAAAACTGAACTTGGAAGCAAATTTTAGTATTCTAAATTTTGATTACTACTAGATCTAGAACTCTCTGCAAAACGCGCGTTGGTGCAGGCGTTGTGTGGACTCGGGATCCGTCGTACTCTTTCCTTGTAAACTCTGCAAAGTCAAAAGGCCAAGGCTAGGCCTAAGTCATCCAAGGCCCACCTTTTCTTCACCTTTTCTTCACCTTTTCTTCTTTGCTTCTGGGTTTTTGTTTGTTCGTTTTTTGTTGTTTTTTTGTTTTTTGGGGGGGTGTTTTTTTGGTTTCATTTGTGTGTGTGCGTGCACATATGAATAGGACAGGAACGCAACTAACTACTATAGGGTAAATGCCTCTGGTAGTTTTCATATTTGTCATATTTTTTTGTTTTTTGTCATTTTCTACTAAATCCTACATTTGTTTGGAGTCGCAAACACATTCATGCGTATGTGATGTGGGTCAAAATATTAATACGGGTTCCAAATTAAGTATGCGACAAGTGGTAAAATAGCCTACTACAGATTTTTTAGGTTAACTACAGATTTTTGGACAAAAATTTGCGTCAAGTACAGATTTTGCCCCTGGCAATGTTGGCAGGTATGCACATGTCCAAGACAATTACCTGTCCAAACAGCCACTACCCTATTCCCTCTCTTGCACTTCTATTTTATGTCTTGACCCTTCCAGCCCCATGCGCCTATATTTTCAGCAAGGCTTGTACCTCCCACCATCCAAAGAGCGTATATTCTCAATTTTGGGGGTGTGTGGAATTTGCGCATTTTTCGAAATTACCGAAGCTGATTAGACTTTAATTTTCATAATATTTGTTCATTTACCTTTAAACATTGTTATACGTTTTTTATCTAAACCTCATTACAAAGATACTACATCACTTTTTAGAATGCTTGCCTCTTTTTGTGAAATACGAGTACTGCTGTATTGGCTGGGACTGGGGTTAGGGAGTGCACAAAAATGGCTAGGGCTGGACGGGCCAATGACCATGTCCAATAGATATCTTTAGTTCTAGTAACAGTTTTACTGCACTTTCAACACAAATCCCAGACTGGGCTTTAAAAAAATTTCAGTTGTGTTCTGAAGTTTGATCCTATCAGAGTAAAGTAAAGTTATTCCCGCATTCGATCCGGACATTGGGGATTGCCTTGTTAGTGAGACAACTTCCTGGGCCTTCAGCATATATTGTGGTAGGGTGGCCAGTTACTTCCCCAACTCGAAGTCTATCAGGGTCCTACCCCTTATACTTAACAACCCAATAGTGTTGAAAGGTGCATTAAACCCATGCATGGGGGGAGCTCTCGTGGCCTAGAGGTTAAGGTGTTCGCCTCTCGTTCAAAGGTCCCGGGTTCAAATCCGGGTAGCGATGGAAACATTTTCATCTCTAAAATTGTCTCATTTCACTTTCACCTCCTTTCCTGCTCTCTAGCAAAGCTTTTCTGTTGTCTGCTTTCATCTCCACTTTCTGACCCACCCCCTCACCTCCTTTGCCCCCTCCTTTGGGCTCCTGACTTTTTCTGCAGCCTTTCTACTGCTACTCCTTGGCTCCTTCTTACTGCTGTCTTTCAGCCACACCCCTGATTTTCTGGTAGGAAAGATCTACACATAGCCTTCTTGGACAAGGGCGAAAAATCTCGGAGGTCCTGTGTGCAAGTTGCGCACGTTAAAGATCCCTTGGTGGTCTAAAATCAATAAGAGTAGGCTTCGGTCGCCACCCGGGCAAAGTTCAAAATTTCCTACCTACTGAAAATGTTTAATGTGTCCCATGCCCTCATGTGACCTTACGCAGTTGCAGCGCCGTAAAACGCTTACAAAAAACCCCCCCCCAAAACAAAAAAACTAATGAAAAAACCCCCATGCACTTACTTTTCTCTGTGCTATGTGTATCGACAGTGGAGCTTGCACAGACGCACGCTAAGAAGATGGTGGAGCTGGAGTCCGCAAAACGAGAGAGTCTGCAGGAGAGGGCGGAGGCGTTTACCTCAGCATTTGAGCAGGATGTGGATTATTACAAGGTTCATGGACACCCCGATCGTAAGTGGGAGGGAGGGAGAGTTTGGAGGAGAGGGAGGAGGGAGGGAGAGAGGGAGGGGGCAAGGGAGTGAGGGAGGGAGTAAGTGAAGGGGGGAGGCTTTTACCTCGGCGTTTGAGCAGGATGTGGAAGGTGGGAGGTGAGAGTGAGGGTAGAATTGTAAATGGGCCGATTTATCAATGTCATGCTCATACTGTGCCAGAACAACATAGGGCGAACTGTTGCTTTTTCTCTCCTCATCCTTACTATCGTCATTTTCCTCTACTACGTTTGAATGTTTGTCACTCTCTTGTGACCGGCTATTTCTCGGGAGCCTTGATAGTCGAAGCAGACTTTGTGCTGTTGAAGCTAGAGAGGGGAAAAGAGTCAGCCTGATTCCCCTGTTTGGACTTCTCTGTTGACATCCGCCCCTTTGCGCTCATATGACCATATGCAGTTGCATGCGCCGTTAGACCTTACTTTGTGGGTGGTTGGTGGGTGCTCTCGTGTGGTTTGCTTCTTCTTTCCTCAAACATCTATCGTCCTTATCTCCCCTTCTTCTTTTTTAAGTTTGTTACTCTCTTGTAACATCTCTAATCTTCTGGCATTCATATGCAGTTGCGAGCGCCGTAAAAGCTCTACTAAAACTTAAAAAAACAAAACCCAAAGTAAATCTAAAAAACCAACTAGGATAAGAATGTTTTTGTGTTTTGGCTGTCTCAGGAGTGCCCACAGAGTTCCCCAAAGTGACCAGTCTGAGCGACATCGAGATAGAGTCGGACAGACAGGAGCTGGACTGTTTCCTCGGCTCTGATACAGAGCCCTCAGGTATGTTATGTGGTGTGTGTGTGTGTGTGTGTGTTGTGTGTGTGTGTGTGTGTGAGATAGAGTCGGACAGACAGGAGCTGAACTGTTTCCTTGGCTCTGATACAGAGCCCACGGGTAAGTTATGTGTGTGTGTGTGTATGTGTTGTTTGTGTGTGTACATATGTGTGCTGTTTGTGTGTGTGTGTGTGTGTGTGTGTGTGTATGTGTGAGTGTGCGTGTGTATGTGTGACAGAGTTGGACAGACAGAAACTGGACTGTTTCCTCGGCTCTGATACAGAGCCCACGGGTAAGTTAAGTGTTGTGTGTGTGTGTTGTGTGTGTGTATGTGTTGTTTGTGTGTCTGTGTATGTGTTGTTTGTGTGTTTGTTGTGTGTGTTTGGTATGTGTTGTGCGTAAAGTTGAAAAGTATGAAGATGAAGAGTATAAAGTTGAAGTTAATAAAGTTGAAAAGTATGAAGATGAAGAGTATAAAGTTGAAGTGTATAAAGTGGAAAAGTGTAAAGATGAAGAGTATAAAGTTGAAGATTATGAAGATGAAGTGTATAAAGATGAAGAGTATATAGTATATAGTAGAAGAGTATAAAGATGAAGAGTATGAAGATGAAGTGTATAAAGAATAATAGTATATAAAGTTAAAGAGTATAAAGATGAAGTGTATGAAAATGAAGTGTATCAAGTTTATACACTTAAACTTAATGTAGAAGTGTGACTTGTAAAGTGCGAGTGTAAAAAGTAAAAGGGTTGACATATGAATTATAAAGATGAAGTGTATAAAATAGAAGTGTCGATGTATAAAGTGGAAGTGTTGATATATAAAGTGGAAGTGGGGTATAAAGTAGGAGAGTATGAAGATGAAGAGTATAAAGCTGAAGTGTATATAGCAGAAGCGTTGATGTAATAAATGGCAAGTGTATGATTCCCGTCCATGCCATACACTTCTGTCTCCTTTTCGTAAGAGTTTTACGGCACTTGCAACACAATAAGGTCATAATATAAGTCTTCTATGTCCTCAGACGCCCTGGAGCTGCCCGAGGAAGGGACGTACATTGAGGACGACTATACTGCAGACTTCTCCGTGAAAGAGGACGACGACCGGATCGACGAGAGAGACATTCTAGGCGTCCACGAACAGATGACCATCACAAATATAGATTACGACGATGATGATGAGGATGATGATGATGTTGATGATGATCTTCGTCCTGAAGAAGTATCGTCAAGTCAAGGTCGGGCAGATGATGGAGAAGGTCATGCCGAGGGAAGGGTTGAAGGTGATACTCAGTCGTCGGAGAATACGCCGCACGGGAAGGAGGGGGATGCTGGTGGTGTTGATGGTAATGTTGATGATGCTGTTGGTGGTGGTAATGTTGATGGTAGTGGTGGTGCTCCCCGTGAAAGTGATGTTGCATCCAACTCCGACGACCAGACAGTGGTCAAAGACTCAGGGATCAGTGGAGAAGCCTCTTGATATTTGAAACAAGACTAAAAATGTTTTGTTTTTTTTGTATTTGTGTGCACTCAGACTCAAGGGTGTGGTTGCCATATTATTATTTTCACACAATTTACCGATGTGCCTTGTTTACCGATGTGTGGGGGAACTGTCGGTACAGAAATGTCTCTTGCTTTTCGTAAACTTTGCTTTTGCCCGGATTGCACCTTACGTTTCATTACGCCAAAGATAGTACAAGACAAGATGGGCCACTTCTCTCTTTGAGCCAATTAAAAAAGTGTCCTCAAAATTTGGTGGCGCCCTCTTCACAAAAGCGCACTCTTTGCGAACAGAGTTACCCTACTTGAGTTTTAAAAAATCAAAGTGAAACTAGCAAGTTTTGGGATAAATTTCGGAAGAACGCTTTTTAAAAATGGTTACGCTGACAAAAAACCTCTTCCGGAGGAAAAGGAGATGGTTTTCTTCGTTTAATTTGACTTTAAAATGAAGGGCGAGAGGTCATTAAAATTTTAAAAAACCCTAAAACTCCCCACTGAACGTACCCGAACTGCTGATGAACAGCAGTCGATCTGCGCACGCAAGGAGGTGCTATTCCTATTCTTCTTCTGGAAAAACGAAAGAGAGCTTCAAAACAGACTGCAGCGCCATCTGAAGCAAAGAGCATACTTCCTGCGGACACTTTTTAGGCTGAGTGGCCCATCTTGTCTTGTACTATCTTTGATTACGCTGAGCAGAATTTTTGCTGCTCGGAGAGTAGTGTGAATGTGACGGTATATGTATGAAGACTACAGGGGAAAAACAACGGTAGTCACAATCTGAAAATCGTGATGGTATCAATTTTGAACGCTTGTTGACTCGTAATTGTATTTCCGTTGGTTGATTGTTGTTGTTAGTTTTTTCCTTTCAACTATACTTAACAATAAACCACCAGTCAAACAAATATGAAGTTACGAGTCCACAAGCTTTTAAAATTGACACCCTCACAAATTCCAGTTTGTGACTACCGTCGTTTTTCCCCTGTGCTCTTCATATGTTTTCAAAGCTTGTTTGCACGATTTGTCCTTTTGTCAGGCTTTGACTTTTCTGCATTTCGTGTTTTTATTTATTTCAATACATGTATACAATGTACGCACATAGTTGCCGGCCAGTGTGTAAAAACCGCATTTCATACTGTTGGAAGGGTCTGAGTTTAGGTTTTCTGAGTAACAACAGGCCACATAGCTAGATATATCAAAATTGGTAGTATTTTGAGGAAGATATCTCTTGTGTCTGTTGCAACTAAAGATGTGATCTACTTTTGTTATACAAGGGAGTAACAGAACTAACCACAAATGAAAATAATTGAATTAACACTATCAGCACGTCATGTTTTACCATCATGTCCATACAACATCGGGAACTCTGTGCCACCACTTTCCTAAGAGGAAGTTTTCTCGTTAATCCGATCCGTGCGCTTTGCATAGCAGTCTGCCACCCGGCTCGGTATCCGGCCTGGACAAACGAGAATGCTCCATCACCCGTTTAAGGGCTTTTGTGTCACTTCGTGGTGGAATCAGGCTCTCGTCAATTTTTGGGCAACTTGGAATTAGCGAGAAACTGGCCGCCAAAGTCTGGTTATTTCAATTGCTTTAATGTCCGTGGGAACTGAAAACTTACATCATTTGTGCCTTTTATCAACGTTTTTTCAGTAAAATCCATCCAGAAATGTGTTCTTACTTTGACAACAATGGTGTTAAGTCAAAAAACAAAAGTTCGATAAAAATTGCTGAACTAGCACAGAAAAATGTCAATTTCTTCAGTTTCCTTATTTTGACGAAGCGCCCGATTTCACCACGATGTCTCACAAATTATGAACTTTCATGACCAGATTTGTGATTAATTATATTATAATTATAATGGAAAGGAAGCCCGCCATAAGTCAATGAAAGAAATGTTCTGCTGCAGGTCTACTTAGAATAGCGGGGATGTTATTGAGTACAGAAAAGTATGTTGTGAAGGGGGGAGGCAGGTTCCTTGACCAATGTCCATGTTGGCCCGGCGTGTAAGTAGAATCTGTTGTTTTTTGTGTTTTGAAATGTTGGCAGCTATGTGTGTACAATATATATATAAGATGTATATATATATATCTATATATATATAGATGTATATATATATTATATTTATATACATGTATATAAATGTGATGCTAAAGTCACCTCACTTGTGATAGAAGTTGTTTTCAATTGACGAAATGGCCTGTTATTTGCTGGTACAATAAACTGCACTTTGCTTCTTTATGTTATGTGGCGTCAGTAGTCTAGTGGTTAGGCTTCTGGACTTGTAATGGTGAGGTTGTGGGTTCAGGGGTTTGAAACTCAAGCCCAACGTTGTGTCCTTGGGAAAGGCACTTTACACGGATTTTCCTCACTTCACCCAGGTGGGAATGGATACTTACCTGGCAATAGACAGGGAAAGATCACGTCAGTATAGTATGTTAGTATTTGAGCGCTTAACCAGCTGCTTGCACTGTATGCTTCCCGGAAAGCTGAGAATGTTTCTGAGTGATCTATTGTCTGCTGGGGTAATAATATAGTGTAAAGCGCATAGAGCTTGCTTTCGAGTGGGGATATGAGCTATACAAAATGCTATTTATTATTATTATTATTATTATTATGTTATTGTGTTGTTAGCACTACTGTAAAATGACAGGCTGCGCTGTATGCTTCAGAGGAGGTTGAGATTGTTTCAGAATGCTATCTAGTCTGCTGGGGTTATAATGTAGAAATTGTAAAATGCGTAGAGCTTGCTGTTGAGCGGGGATTTGCGCTCTACAAGTCCTGTCTATTATTGTGATGTAATGTGTGAATGTCATGTGATGTGTCACCGTACTCGGACACCAACTGTGGGTCTGTCCCCGTGGTTTTATGCAAAACAAATTCTTAAATTATGCAAACTGAGCCTAAAAAATGTGAAATTATGCGATTCTGTTATTTTTTATTTTAATAAAGAATGATGAAGGAAAATAATCAGAAATTATGCAAAAAATGATCAAATTATGCGGGGTGCATAAAACCCCGGGGACAGCTGTGGGTGCTGCATTTTAAAAAATTATTTTCGTACTGTGGAAAAAAGTGGGATAATGGTTGTTGTTATAGTTACCTTGTAATGAAAAACAAAAAGTTCCTGGGTGGTGGGTGTAAGTGCTGGACGGCCCAGTGTACATGATGATGCTGGTGATGGTATACAACGGATACTGGACTACGACAACTACAAGAGTGATGTGATAAAAAAGAAATGTTTTGTTTTAATAGATGAATGTTTTTTTATGGCCCCATTTACGCGGTATAGATCAGTTAGAAGGTGGTGGGCTTCCCTCCCTTCCCCTCAACATCAAGGCCAACACTGACCTGTCCCCCGTCGTTTTATGCAAGAAAAATTCTGAAATTATGCAAACTAAGCCCAAAAATGTGAAATTATAAGATTCTGTTAATTTTAAGAAAGAATGATAAAGGAAAATTATCAGAAATTATTTTTAAAAATAATCAAATTTGGCTAAATTCTGCGGGGTGCATAAGACCACGGGGACAGGACACTGACTGACTGAGAGGGAAACAACATCCAAGCTGAAAGCCTGAGATACTCAAGAACAATTTCTCCCCACTCATGTTTTATGTTTTAATAAAAGTTTTGTACGCCACTTGCTACACAATAAGGTCATATATAAGTGACGAAGAATACAGGTGTTACTAGAGAGTAACAAACATAAAAAAGAAGGAGGAGAGATCAGGACGATAGACGTTTGACAGGAAAGAAGGAGCAAACCACACCAGAGCACCTGCCAACCACCCACTCCCCACTCAGGAATTGAACTCGGGGTCACGTGCGTGCGACAACGGAGTGCCAAACCGCTACACCACAGACGCGGAGAGGATTTATTTTACAAATGTGTGGACTGTTGCTACTCAACTGGCTACAAAAAGTTGTGATCTTTTTCCTCCTACTTTGTGCTGTTGAGGCTGGAAGCATGCCAGTTTGTCACAGGCCTCGACTGTGCCCTGCCTGATGGAAGTTATCACTGACACTCTCAAAAAGAGTAAATGAATGATTGATTGATTGTATGAATTGAATTTTATTTTTCCATTGTTTTTAATGAAAGAACATTCTTTGTTGAAATTTTAGAGAGTAGTTTGCTTTGAATTGCATACAAAAAGGATGAAATGTTGAACAACACAAACTGAATTGGCATTTTAGAGGGACTATCTCTACTCCACTAATTTGAAGGTGGAGAATAGATGACTGAAGTTACAACTAGAGTGTTAAAGTGCTGTAATTATGACAAACTGGGCAGGCCCCTTGAGGCTAGAGAGGTGAACAGAGTAAGCCTGATTCCTCGTTTGGACTTCTCTGTTGACATCCACCCCTTGGCGCACATATGACCTTATGCAGTTGCGAGCGTCGTAAAACCTTTCTGAAACAAAGAAAGAAAATTGTAATCTTTTTTCCTACTTTGTGCAAGTTGACTGTCGGTGATCAAAAATTTTATTGGAAATTAAAGATGTATATTTGTATCTCTGTGTTGTTAGAAGTTGAATCTTTGCAGTAGATCATGTGTAAGTGTGACAGTGAACCGAGGTCTGTGGTGTAGGGAGTAGGCTCTTTCCTGTGGTCCTTGCTTGGAAGATGTGAGTTTGTTCCACCAGTGGGGAAGATATTTCACCCAGTAAAAAGTAAAGTTGTTCCCCGCCTCCGATCCGGACATTGGGGATTGCCTTGTTTGTGTGACAACTTCCTGGGCCTTCGGCATAATATTGTGGAAGGGTGGCCAATTCCTTTCCACGCCGCCTTTACTTCCCCAACTTGAAGTCAGGTGCCCATTACTGCTGAGTGAACAGGAGGGGGCGAAAAAAATCCGTGTCCGAAACGAGTTTTACACAGTATCTCCCCCTAAAGCTGTCCCTGTGGTTTTATGCACCCCGCATAATTTAGCAAAATTTAATCTTTTTTTGCATAATTTCTGATTATTTTCCTTTATCATTCTTTGTTAAAATTAACAGAATCGCATATTTCACATTTTTTAGCTCAATTTGCATAATTTCAGAATTTTTCTTGCATAAAACGGCGGGGACAGCTAAAGACAACCTCAGTCAGTAGCATCGCCCTGGGGGGGGGGGGGGGGGGGGGGATGTTAAATATGATTTTGGAAAAAAAAAAGTGAAAAATTGTAGTAACGTGCCTTTCGCAAACACACAACCGTGGAGCCTTCGACAGTGACAGGGTTCAAACCGTAGTCTTTTAGGCTGCGAGCCCAACA